GAGGTACCAGGAAGACGGAAGGAGGAGACGGTGCTCATGGGACTCAGTCTTTGTAGGGCACAGGGTAGTTTGGCCAGAGGTATGGAATTGCACAGTAGAAATTGGTGTCTTGACATGATAAAGAAAAGAACACAGAATCTTTTTCTTCAACTCTGAGGACCCACATCTCTCTGTCTTCCTTTATCTTGACTTAAGCCGAGGAAGAATGGATCAAATCACATTAGAAGACAGTTATTTTCTCAGAATTCTACAGAAGAAAGGAATATTCTCCCCTTCAACAGGTAACTTGTGCAATCCTGATCAAGTGTTCTGTGAAATTTTCACTGTATCCAATACCCAGATGTTTTAGAATGGAAAAAAAAGTCCCAAGAACACAGTCAGAAATAACTTATGGAAATGTTAGAAATAATAAATAAATAATCTTTCCTATAGGAGAGCTTCTTAGAACAACAAAAATAACTAGCTATGTGTTTCTGTGGATATTTAGAATGGTGTTTTAGGAGTTATTTGCATTTCTTACTGTTCACGTGGAGGATAGTTCTCCATCATCCTGCATCCCAGAAGGCTACAAGAAACACCTGTTCCTATTTTTTTTTTTTTTTTTGACTCAGCAGCCCAGGAGCCTGTGCCCTGTGTGATCTGTTTCCTCCACAGCCTTTGTTTTCCCATATCGCTTTTAAACAATGCCTAGATACACATGTGGCATTTCTTCCTTTACATTTTTGTGAACAAACTGGATAGCTGTGTTTCCACTTGCACAGGTCCTGTACAAACATGGCGTGTTGTACGTTTTGTGGGTCTAGGAGCATGCTTGTTTCCTTAGCCTCCCAAAGAACAGAACCTTATGTGTAACTCTTAATTTTGACCTGGGGATCTGTTGCAAATTTGGAAAACTTCAAAACTAACAAACTAATTAAAACAAGTAATTTTTTTTTTTATTTTTGACAGGCAGAGTGGACAGTGAGAGTGAGAGAGACAGAGAGAAAGGTCTTCCTTTTCCATTGGTTCACCCTCCAATGGCCGCTGTGGCCGGTGCGCTGCGGCTGGCCCATCTTGCTGATCTGAAGCCAGGAGCCAGGTGCTTCTCCTGGTCTCCCATGCGGGTACAGGGCCCAAGAACTTGGGCCATCCTCCACTGCTCTCCTGGGCCACAGCAGAGAGCTGGACTGGAAGAGGGGCAACCGGGACAGAATCCGGTTCTAGTCCCCGACCGGGACTAGAACCCAGGGTGCCAGCGTTGCAGGTGGAGGATTAGCCTATTGAGTAGCGGCACCGGCCTAAAATAAGTGCTTTGGAGCACAAAATACATAGCCCCTAGAATCTCAAGTGTTAAAGGCCAAAAAGGCCTAATTTTTTTTAAAGATTTTATTTATTGATTGATTTGAGAGGCGGAGTTACAGATAGAGGATTTCATCCACTGGTTTACCCCCTAAATGGCCAGAATAGTTGGAGTTGAGCCGATCTGAAGCCAGAAGCCAGGAGCTTCGTATGGGTCTCCTACATGTGTGCAGGGACCCAAGCACTTGGGCCATCTTCCACTGCTCCCAAGCCATAAGTAGAGAGCTGGGTTGGAAGAGGAACAGCCTGGACATGAACTGGTGCCTATGGGATGCGGACACTGCAGGGAGAGGTTTAGCCCACTACACCAGCCGCAGGCCTAATATTTTGAGTCTCAGTTACTACAATGTGAACTGCAGAGACCGAGAATGATGATGCCTGTCACATTTTTTGTTGTTTTGATATTCAAACATCCAGAATTTGAATGCTGCATGAGGCAAACAGCTGACATTCCAGAAGGTTGGTTTTTATTCACATGACTCTGTTGTCATGACAATGAAAATAGATCAACCATCTAGACACAGAACCTGGCTTTAGTGTGTGTTCAGTGAATGGGTACATTTCAATGTGTGGATCTTATTGGTTGAGTGATGAATGAGTTTGGATTTCCCAGTCTCAGTTAGCTTTCTGATTTGAGGTGGAAAGAAATTCTAAATCACTGTAATAAATCATGTAGAACCAAATCAGAAAACGAAACAACATGTGGAAATTAGATGAATTTTTGTAATTGCCTTTCTTGTTCCATTTTTTCCCCTCTGTCTTCAGTTTTCTATAATGTAAATGACTGGATTTAACCAGATTGCATGGTGGATGTGGGTGACGTGTGAGGATAGCAGTGATGCAGTGGGTATTTGGCATTAAGACCTTCTAAGGTTTCCATTTCTATTATTGGTGCATTCCAAGAATTTAATGTAACACCACTTGATGCATTGTAATTTCTCAGCATGTTTATGAGAACTTAGGAATGTGTGTTCTTTTTTTACTCAGTTGATTCAAAAGTACTTTGTATGATTTTCCTACTAGCTGTTTCCCATGGAATTCAGCAGTTGTCAGTGTATATTACATCAATACAGTTAAGATGATCAAAGTGGAGAAAAGAGCTTTCATCTGTACATACTTCACTTGCTTCACTTGGAAAAAACAAGGTTTTCAGTTTATAGATGGAGATAATAAGGCTTTATTAGAAAAAATCCCAGGATAAAGGGTGGCTTTTGGTACAGCAGTTAGGATGCCCTTTGGAATGCCCTCATGCTAGATCAGAGTGCCTGGATTTGAGTCATAGCTTCTGCTTCTGATTCCAAGTTTATGCTAATCTGTGCGCCAGGAGGCAGCAGGTCGTGGCTCAAGAAGTTGAATCCGGCTGGCACCGGGCCCATTTGGCTAATCCTCTGGCACCCTGGGTTCCTGTCCTGGTTAGGGCACCGGATTCTGTCCTGGTTGCTCCTCTTCCAGTACAGCTCTCTGCTGTGGCCCGGGAAGGCAGTGGAGGATGGCCCAAGTGCTTGGGCCCTGCACCCGCATGGGAGACCAGGAGGAAGCACTTGGCTCCTGGCTTCAGATTGGCTCAGCGCACTGGCTGCAGCGCACCGGCCGTGGCAGCCATTTGGGGGGGTGAACCAACAGAAGGAAGACCTTTCTCTCTCTCTCTCTCTCTCTCTCTCTCTCTCTCTCTCTGTCTGCCTCTCAAAAAAAAAAAAAAAAAAAAGTTGAATCCTTGGGTGGGTGTTGTGGCACAGTGGTTAAGCCACCACTTATATCCCATATCAGAGTGCCAAAGTTCAAACCCCACAGCTTTTTTTTTTTTTTTCAGATTTATTTATTTATTTAAGAGATTGAGATTGATCTTCGTTTGTTGGTGCATTCCCTGAGAGAGAGATATCTTCCATTTGCTGGTGTATTCCCCAAATGGCTGTAATGGCCAGAGCTGGGCTACTCTGAAGGCAGGAGCCAGGTCTCTCATGTGGGTACAGGGGCCCAAGCATTTGGGCCATCTCTGTTGGTTTCCCTAGCACCTGAGTGGAATCAGAAGTGGAGCAGCCAGAACTGGAAGTGGCTTCCATATGAGATTCTGTTGTTGCAGGTGATGGCTAAACCAGTTCCGCCACTATGCCAGCCACCTGCCTCTCCTTTGAATCTTTTTTTCTTGCTAATGTGCAGCCTGGAAGGCAGCAGGTGATGGCTTAAATACTTGGGTCCTTGCTATTCCCTTGTGAGACCTGGATGAAATTCCTGACTGTTGATTTCAGCCTGGCACAGCTCTGGCAACTTCAGGAATTTGAGGAGTGAACCAATGGATCAAAGTCTTTCCCTGTGCCTTTCATAGACAGACAGACAATTTTGAAATGGAAGTTGGGTCCCTGCCACCTGCATGGGAAAACCATGTTGAGTTCCTGGTTTCTGGCTTTAGCATGGCCCAGTACTAGCTGTTGTGGGCATTTGGAGAGTGAAATGAAACAGTTAATTGAAGATCTTTTTCTGTCTTAATCTCCATCTCCCTGTCTCTATGCTTTTCAAATAAATAAGTAAACAGATGAAAAAGAAACATCCCAGGATATTAGGGTCGTTATTTGGGAGTGTTGAGCTGGTTAGTATTAGAAGAAACAAGAAGTATTACTTGTAGAGCAGACACCAAACTATGGTCCCTTTATGATATAGTATACAATGGGAGATTGAGGGCAGTGGCAGATGTGTAGTTAAGATCCTTAATGAATATGAGTGGGGGAGAGGATAGGACTTCTGAAGCCATGTAAGTGATTTCCCTTGGGACCACAGGAGAAAGTGAACTGCTGTCTGACAAGGTATGACATATCTTCTGTTTTCACTCTGAGCTTGGTTAACAGAAGAGATTAGTAAGGATTAGGTGATTTTCTGCTGTAACTGTTGAAGAATGATGGGGAGGATGGGGACTGGCCGAGAAGGCAAAATTTAGAAGGGGTAGGCAGAGATAAGGTAATCATCAGAGTACCTGACCTTCCTGTTGAAGCTGGTGTTTGACCTGCACTGGGATTGAGAAGACACTGTTGGTGTGCAGTGTGGAGTTGTAAGATGGAGGTTTAGGACTGAGCCAAGTCAGAAAGAGGAGGAAGCTTGGCTTCTTCCAACAGGAATAGGTAAGTTCTGCGGGTGGTGGGAAGGGGCAAGTTATGACAAGTTAATGGACACAATCTTCAGGGCTCCAGCTCACCCATGCAGTGGTGGTCTCCCAGGACTCATCGGGGGTTTGCTTCTTGGTAGACATCAGCACTTCTGCTGTTCTGGTGATGTAACATGGAGATTGTCACTGCCTCCTGTTGGTGCAAGCTGGGGAACGAAAGTCTATGTGTCTCTGCAATAATGTTGGCTTACTTGTGCATATTCAGAGCATATTGCAAGCAGGGCTACACATGGGCATATGCAGTTGGGACAGTAACCCTTAAGTCCTTATTTGGAGAAAGACAACAAGTTGAACAGTTACTAGAGAGCCATACTGGGTCTAAAAAGTTCTTGGAAAATGTGTACTATCTTACTAATTGCATTTTCATGAACTTTTTTTTAAATCTTTTCTGGTGATTTTTTTTTTTATTTGACAGAGAGAAAGGTCTTTCTTCCGTTGGTTCACCCCCCAAAATCAATATGTTCATTAATCCCCCCCCCCTTTTTAGATTTGTTTGTTTATTTGACAGGCAGAGTTACAGACAGAGAGAGTGAGAGAGAAAGAGGTCTTCCATCTGCTGTTTCACTTTTCAAATGGCTGCAATAGTTGGAACTGCGCCAATCCGAAGCCAGGAGCAGGAGCTTCTTCCGGGTCTCCCATGCAGGTGCAGGGGCTCAAGGTCTTTTTTTTAATTTTTTTAAAAATTTGAGAGGTAAAGTTATACACAGTGAGAGAGAGACAGAGACAAAGGTCTTCCTTCCATTTGTTCACTCCCCAAATGGCTGCCACGGCCGGTGCAGCGCCGATCTTGTGGGGAGCAACCCGGACTAGACTGAGTTACTGGAATTAAGACTTATTCTATGCATCTGCTCTCCCACAATATGGCGCTGGGAGAGAAGTAAACAGCTTCCGCACAGCTGCCTCCAGTTCAACCAATTAACTGTAGGACTTGCTCCTGATTGGAGAGCAGCGTACTCGGCGTGTGGGCAGCCGAGTTGGGATTGGCGGAGGAGGACTATAAAGGAGGAGAGAGACGGCATGCACCAGGAACATCTATGGGGAACATCTAAGGGAACCCGTGCAGCCCTCGAGAAAGCCGGCCGGCGGTGTGCCGCTCCCCTGCGGAAGTGGGGAATGCGGCCAGGGGGAACTGCCCTTCCACGGAGGTGGAAGGGATAGTAGCCAACCCAGGAAGAACCAGCAGCAAACCCGGGGAAGGCCGAGCAGACGAAAGAACAGCGCAGGGTCCTGTGTCGTTCCTCCACGAAGAGCCTAGGGTTCCAGAGAGATCTGATCTGAGAGCCA